TTCTTGAGTTGCTTTCTACCTATGCTACTAATTATCTATTTCAACATGCAATAATGATATTATTGCGTCCTGAATTCGCGACAGTAGTGAAATATATAGTTTAACGTTTAGCACTGTACGAAAATCCAACTCACAAGCAAATAAGAGAGAGAGTGTGTAGCGTTCATAAGAGACACCATAATTTTTATGTGGAAACCCCTGAAAGGGGGAAAACCCACGGGGGATTGGCTCAATTTCAATTAATCCACTAGTATTTGCAGTCGGTTACAAATGAGGCCCTTCCTTAGGAGAAGGCCTTAGCTTGATGTCACAAATGTACATCATATGGAGCGCATCACATGGTGGGAGTTATAATAATCAACATAGATGTGTTTGTTTGGTCGGCACAACCATAGTCGATAGGATAGAGGACATAAAGATCGTTGTCTGGTAATGGAGGTTGGAACGACCATAGTAGGCGACAGAGGTCGGAAGGACCGTAGTTGGCAGGAGACCGGGGTCTGAAAGATTGTTAACTGGTGATGGAGGTCGGAAGAGCCATAGTAGGCGATGGAGGTTGGAAGGAACGTAGTTGGAAGGAGACCGGGGTATGAAAGACCGTTGTTGGCAGGAGACCGAGGTCTGAAAGACTGTTGTCTGGTGATGGAGGTCAGAATGACCATAGTAGGTGATGGAGGTTGGGAGGACCGTAATCGATAGAAGACCCAGGTCTTAATGACTGTAGTCTGGTGATGGAGGTCGGAAGGCTCATAGTAGGCGAGAAGGTCAGAAGGACCATAGTCGGCATGAGACAGGGGCTAGAAAGACCGTTTTCTGGCGATATAGGTCGGAAGACCATAGTAGGCGATGAAGGTCAGAAGGACCGTACGTAGTCGGCAGGAGATAGGGGTCCGAAAGATCGTAGTCATAGGGCGGTACTCTGGTAGAACTCTGGACATTAGGTGGTGGCCTAATAGAATTAAGTTTGGGCCTCAAGTGGTGGTCTGACAGAAGTTCGGGCCTCAGGTGACGATACGGCAGAACTCCGGGCGTTAGGTGGTGGTCCGGTGGAAGTTTGAGCTTCAGGAGGTGGTCCGGTGGAAGTCCTGACCTCAGGTGGTGGTCCGGTAGAAGTCTGGGGCCTTAAGTGGTGATCCAGAGGAACAACGATGTCAGGCGGTGGTCCGGCGGAGCAACGACATCAAATAGTGGTCCAGCCGAGGTGAGGGCCTCCAGTGGTGGTCCGACGGAGGTGAGTGGCTCATGTGGTGGTCCGGCGGAACTCAGGGTCTCAAGTGGTGGTCCGGAGGAGCAACGACGTCAGGCGGTGGTCCGACGGAGGTGAGGGCCTCTAGTGGTGGTCCGGCGGAGGTGAGGGCCTCAAGTGGTGGTCCGGCAGAGCAACGACGTCAGGTGGTGGTCTAGTGGAGGTGAGGGCCTCCTGTGGTGGTCCGGCGGAGGTGAGGGCCTCAACTAGTGATCCAGCGAGGGTGAGGGCCTCAAGTGGTTGTCCGGCGGAGCAACGACGTCAGGCGGTGGTCTGACGGAGGTGAGGACCTCAAGTGGTGGTATGGTGAGACTCCGACGGTGGTCGAGGATGAGCTTCTTCCTTCTCTTCCTTCTCTTCTCTTCTTCTCTTCTTGCTTCGATCCCCCCTTTTCAAGAGAAATGAGGGTTCTATTTATAGATTTCTGGAGTAGCATGATGTAAAGTGCTGTTTTTTTCTCCAGGATCGTCCAGGACGATCTGGGATCGTCCTGGGACGATCAGTGGAAGTTTTGCTCCAGAATTTGCCCAGATTTGCTCCAGGTATTTTTCTGTAGGTATCGTCCGGGTCGATAGGGATATCGTCCAGGCCGATCTGTACTGTTCAAAATATCGTCCTGCGAATAGTTCTGGGAACCGTCCAGGACGATCAAATTTGGTCTGATCGTCCCAGGACGATCTGGCGATCGGCCGGGCCGATCTGAGTATTATAAAGCTGAAATCAGTCGTTTTGAAGAGAGAGAAAAATCAAAATAAAAATATCTGATTTTTTAGGAGAGAGAAAGTCGAGGAATATTTTGGAAAAGTTGATTTTCGGGCGACGCGGAGCTGTTTTCGTCCGACGAGACTGTTCGAGATATTGCTGTACGCAAGGTAAGGCACATTCCGCCTTTCTCAATTTTCAGAACCCGGTCGTGTTTGGTGGGTGTTTCTGTTCGAATTTGAATTTTGGCGAGGCAATTTTTTCGTCCGTATTTTTCCGTCTGGTTTCAGTTTTTTATACCGCGTACTTTCTGTTGTTGTTGACGTGCCGAGTGTGCACATTTTGGTTATTGGTGTCTGGGGAATTTGTTGTCCCGGAGTGTTTGTTGTTCGAACGGTGTTTTTCGTCGACTGGATTTTTTCTGTGTAGTCTAAATTGTTGAAGCAGGTAGAATAAATTAAATTTGAAATGTTTGTTTATCTAATATCATTGCAAAATTTGGCATTTTCAGTGATTTGCAGGAAAAATTGTGTAAATTCCGTTACTGCCGTTGTCCTGCCCTGATTTTTGTCTGAATTTTTTGATTTGGTCCAGGATTTCTTCTGAATTGATATCTATCTTATATCGCATAAAAAGGGAGTTATAAGGGCCTCAATCCTAAAGCATTCAGTCAGTGTCTGGGAAATCTGAAATCTGATATCTGTTCTGTTCCGGATCCGATGAATTCTGTTCTGGTGCTATAAGCACATCTAGATTCTGTCAGTGTCTGGGAAGGGAGGCATAAGGGGCCAGAATCCGTTGAGATTCTGTCAGTGTCAGGGAAACCGTTCTGTTATCTATTATGTGCTAAATTAATATATATGATTTGATCTGATCTGTATGACATGATTCTGTTCTGTTCCGATATGATTCGAATCCCGATTTCGGTACGATTCTGATTCTGTTAATGTGATATGTCTGATCTGTTCTGTTTCTGATTTGATACGACTTCTGTTTCCGTACAGTTCTGTTTGATTTGATATTTGTTCAGTTCAGTTCTGTTTGATTTGATCTGTCCGTATCTATTCTGATTTGATCCGTTCCGTTCTGATCTGTCCGATTTGATATCTGTCTGATTCTGTTCTGATTTCTGTACAGATTGCTGTCTGATGTGTTGGTTTTGGATTCTGAGAGTTTTGATTTGAGGTTTGTCGCTTTGCTGAGCTGTTGAGCTCACTCTTGTTTTCTGGTGGTTTTCAGGTTCTGGGAAAGGGAAGGAAGTCCAGGAATAGATTTCAGAGTCTGATCAGTATAGGTATTGTTTTGTACCTTTTGATTTTTGTACAGTCATGGCTTTTCTATTCTGTCTTTCTTTCTGTCTAAAAGCCATGTACTGTATTTGTAGATGATTGTTTTGAGGAAAAGAAAAGATAGATGTTTTGTTCCGCTGTGTTTGATGATTCATAGTAGCTTTGTGTTTGTGTGTCTGTTTGAGTTGAATATTTGGAAGATTCAGTTCCGAAACAAATTCCATAACCAGATCCTGGTCAGTAAGTCTGTTCGTTCCGGTCGCGACCCGGTGCGAGCGGGATCCGTCCCGGATCGGGTCGGATCGTGACACATGACCCGTAAATAGGTGAGAGATCAAGGGTAAATGGGAAGTGGTTGGATGGACGGCCGATATTGAATCCCTTGGTCGTGGACTGTTCGTCAGACATTTGAAGGTCTTAATGGTGTTGCAATTCGGCGATCTTGAGCTCGTTGGATCCATCTCGTCAAGCTGCTCGATTCGACTATAAGCACGTCATGTTTGGAAACCGTTTGGTGATCCAAATTGTGGTTTGAACCCTCAAACAACGCTTTGGACCCTTAATTTGGACCCATTTGGGCTCGGATTGAGTCGAATTTGGTGTCGTTGGGTTCGTATTTCCGAGACGTTCAGTTCGACTATAAGTTTGTTGAAATCGGAGTTCGGATAGTCCCAATTTTATTTTCATAAGTTTCCAACTTGATTTTGCATTGAGATTTGTGCCCGATCAAGATAATTTTTTTGAGGACGTATCAGATATAATAACATTATTCTTTGATCATTGAGTTCAAGTGAAGAGCCTTTAAGATCTTTATGACAATATCATTCTTTAAACTATTGCTCTTCCAAGTTAGGCTCGCCTCAACATTATTCGACGATTACTCCTATAACCTCTCTATTATATCCTCTCTCTCTCTCCCAACTTTCTACCTTAATCATTCAAATTCCTACGATGATCCATCTTGTGCAAACTAGTTTTCCTAGGACTGTCTCCCTAATTTTTTCTTTTGGATATCCAAAAAATACATAGTACTTACATGATAGGTGTCGTGTAAATTTTATGCATTTACATTCCCTTCCTTTGATTGGTTAGCTATTATTGGTAGCTTTAAAATTATTAATGTTCACCTCTAAAGAAGTCTTTTCAACTCTTAAAGATGTCCTCTATATTAGCAGAATAAAGAGATTATTCTTACATTTTCATATTATGCTTCTTTTCCTCAATTTTCTAAGAAGTCATTACCAAGATTTAGCTGTAAAGGAACAAAAGGCTGAACGACCATGCCGTTTGTACCAGTTCAATTTTGTACAAAATTAGATACCATTTTTCTTGCAGGATTAAGAATAAGCACATTAGGTGGCCCACGGTTATCTCTACGACAGTTCCTGCAATTTTGCAATTTTGGGATTACTTCTATTGTGTGGATAGCATTTGGGTTTCCCTTTCCATTCAAATATTCCTTTGGGACTTTGATGTCTGCTTTGTTGGGTAAGGGTTTACTTCTATTGTTTGGATAGCATTTGCGTCTCTCTTTCCATTCATAGATTCATTTGGGACTTAGGTGCCAACACCCATCCAACCTGACCTATCAATGTTCCTTTCAAACTACAGTAGGGGTAGCAGAACTTCCTCTCATGTTGGACTGGCTAATATCATTAGATAACTTGGTCCAATTCAATTTAAAACAGTTCAGCCGATTTAGCATCAACTTACCGTTAATGAGTTCGTCTGGTTTTGTTTCTTTTAAATTGATACAGCAAATCGAACAGTGCAAATTCACAGTTATGACTTCCATTTTCTATGCAAGGATCTTCTTACATCACAAGTCTCTACAGTTTTTTTGTTCATTTTACACGATAATTCATCCAGCTTAAAAAAAGCAGCCAGATACAGGAATCTAGCAATCAATAGAGAAAGATAGCTAGGAACAATGCTATAGTTCTCTACAAGGACGGATATTATTATGCCAAAAAAATTACATGAAATAGACAACAAGTTCATATTCAAAAGGCGCAAAAGTCCTTATTTTGAAGAAGAGAATTGCGCCATTCTATCCATCCATTCAGTTTGAGTTTGTTTCTCCAGCTGAAGCTTCCCATAATAAGGAAAGAGAAACCTTCACTTGCAACTTCAAACAATATACATCACTGAGCTTACTTCCTACCGGAAGTTGAGTGCCTGCTCTTGCCATGCTTAATAGCCCTGAAAGAACCTTCACCAACTCTGCTCTTGGTTGCAGAACCCGAACCCTGGCTCAATCGTCTCGTCAACTTCCTTCTGGAGCTCCTTGCAACATCTCCAAGGGCAGCCTTAGTTACACTCTTCGTCACAACCTCTCGCACTTTGTGAGGCTTGATAAGCTGCTTATTCAAGTAAGTAACATGGGGAAGAAGGCTCAAAACTGCCTTTCTGAGTTGATCTTCTCCAATGTTGGTCTGTATTGGATTGCCTAGGAGGTTGAGAGCTAGAAGGGAGTTGTAGTTTGCAACAAGCTGGCCTAATGCCTTGGCTGTGGTTATCTTATTGAAGCTGAGATCTAGCACTGTAAGCTTTAGAAGACGGTGAAGGCCCTCAACATTGCTGATCTTATTACCAGCAAGGTACAACTCTCTTATGATAGTGCAACTCGATAGTCCTGAATAAAAACAGCACAAGATGATTAGATCCTAGTACCATTAGAGAAGCAATATGTACAGCAATATTTGCAAAATAAGCAAACAATATAAACAGGGGCAGATCCCCCTTGAGCTTATGGGGGGCAATTGCCCCCACTAAAAAAATTAAATTTTTTTATTATATTATTCTTTAGGTAAATTGTCCCCCTCAATCTATTTTTTAAGTCTTTATTACAAGGTTTTTTTAGCAATTGCCCCCCCCCAAAAAAAAAAGTTTTAAAATACTATGGTCTTTAGGCAATTGTCCCAGCAAATAGTAAAGAAAATTCATCATTTTATTTATTAATTTGAATTTCAAAAATAACCTTATAATCAAAATAGTGCCCTCGGAAATCCCCGTAGGGGCCCTGCCCCTTCACCCCGCGATCTGATCGGGCAGGTCCTGGACCCCGACGGTTACTTATAAGTTTGCTCCCCTGAACATTAAGGTTGATTCCACCCCTGGATATAAAGGTAATATGTAACATGGAGATGGTGCTTAGGAGAATGACTTCATGAAGAAATATTTCAGACACAGAGAATTCATCTAAACAGAACAGCCATGAGAAATCATTGTTTGAAATAGATGAATAGGTAAGGTATTGTGTCATTGGAGAACATGGACAGCACTTAAGATAATGTTACAACACAGTTTGGCACAAGAGTTAAGAAGCTAAGAACCATTAGATCAATATGAAGTTATAAAATTATGATGTGATCCTAAATCCACATGCAGAGAATCCTCTTTGATTTCACATTTTTTTCATTTCAGAAAAAATAAATCAGGACTTAGGATGGTCCAAGAATGGCGTCACATGTATTGTATAATGGATGCTATGAAAGCTGAGCATGCTGGAAGGATCTGCTCAATGGGACCAGTAACAAACATTTAGTGTGCTAATTAATAAGATAATAAAAAAGGACAATAATTTAAGTAGCACCACATGAGCTTGCCTGAATTTTGATGGCTCATAATACAAAAGTATACGACCAACATAACGAAAAATATTTTACTGATATTTCCATACTGGACTTCTTGCACATCTAAAGCTTATTATAGAGTATTATTACACTTCCTCAAGATCTACATTTACAGCGAAGTGGACCAATATCATACCTCTAAGTATAAAAAAAGAAGGCATTTACTGAAATACATAATATGCTTACCATGACCAATTCTCGTGATTCTGTTATAGCTTAGATTGAGAATCCTCAGCCTTTCGAGCTCTCTGAATCCTTCAATAGTAGAAATCTTGTTCCGAGACAAGTCCAGAGTGTGAAGATTCTTTGGAAGAGATCCTGAAGTAATGTGAACTGCAAAGAAAGAAATAGTTTAACTGTCTATATTTACATGAAGATTAGAGAGCAAGATAATCATCTTATCACTCGTAGAATTTCGTGTAAATACCTATGGAGTTGCCAGAGAGATTGACAGATCTAAGGCTGGCAAAGGCTGAAATGGAAGGAATAACTTTTAAGCCAATGCCAGAGATATGGGCTGCCGACGAGAATGTATTTAAGGACTGGATGATATTATCAGCTTGTGCTACATCCTCTGCTGCATGACGACTAGTATGAGAACAAACTTTTTCAGAGGTCTCTTTGATCCCCAAGTGATGATGGTTAGAAGATTTTTCATCTTCCATAGCATCACAATCTTCTTCAACATTAATAGGAACGAATGAACAATCCTCAAGGCTGTTTACCCAAGCATTAACTCTGTCCATATGTGAAGACCCTACAGAGAAAGCAACCCAGTGGTGGTTCTCAGGTTCTATTTCTGTCTTCTTCCCTTTGTCAAGCTTCTGGCCAGGTTCATGGGTATCAGATGAATACCCGTCCTTTCGCTTAGGAGCACTGAGAATTGAAATCTGCCTTTGAGGAGCTCTAGGCTCGTGGAGATTCCTATGGCTCCAAAGGAAGAGTTTCCACCATATTTTTCTGCTTCTAGAGGGGAGAACTTGACTTGAAGACCGTCTCTTTAGCATCACATGATCGGCACTGCAAGAGGACCTTAAAGATAATGGACTACTGTAGTTTTCATAAGTGATTTCGACTCTGCAATTTCCTGGTAAGTTCTGGAGGTTACTGTAAGAACTTGACCTCTTAGGCGACTTGATCCATTGCTTAGCCTGCTTGGTCTCAATGTTTGAACATGAGCGCTTAAGCACTGGTGACTCCAAGAAAGCTGTCCTCTCCATTCCTGGATCACTAACATGCCCACTTGCAATCTGTGCCTCACCTGCAATCCCTTTATTTGTCTCTGTCTTCCGGAATTCATAGCTGTTTGAGTCAGTGTTCGATCCATGGAAGGAAAGTCCTCCTTTGGGCTGGAGATCTAAGTCAGAGTTCTCTTTCTTCATTGTTCGAATCTCTTCATGCTCATCACCCCCCTCATAAGCTGCATCTCCTGTAGACTCAGCTGTTGCCAAGCTATCTTCACTTCGTACCTTAGGAATGATAGAAGATCTTTTCGCTACCGATGGAAAAGATTTTGAGTCAGTTAAAACTTGCTCTTTCATGCCATTGTCAGTGGAGGAAGAGGGGCTAACAAGATCAATAGGCTTAACCCGAAGGTCCCCATTGTTACTTCCCTTTTTACCCGCATCATTGGAAAATCCCTATAGAAGTAGCTTCCTCCCAAATTAGCTCACAGGTTGAAAAATAAAGAGGAATAAGTGAAATAAAAAACATTATTGTTGCTCACCTTGGATTTCTTCTTCTTCCTGACCAGCAAGCTAGACCAGCAGGCAAACATTGCCATCAAGTGATGTTTACAGAAGGCACCGATTCTGAAAAATATTTACAATTTTTAAGAATTAAAAACCATAGTTTCACCTAATGAGATAAATCGCTCCCACCAATTCTACAGAACTAACAAGCTCAGCAAACTGATACCACAACAGAAAATACCAGAGAGAACAATGGTGGGGCAGCGAAAGAAGAAGAAGAAGAAGCAGACCTCCAGATCACCCGCCTTTCTCAAGGTGCTTAGAAATGTCGATGCAGTTATGGCCACAATGATTCAAGAAAGTTTCTTTTTGAAGCCGTCTTGGAAATTGAACCTGCAGAGACAACATCATGAATGAATCAGGAAAAAGATCGAAAAGCTTCACTACAGCAAAAGTAAGGACATACATAGTAACGAGAAAAGACAGAAATTGATGACTGGTTCATTTCTATCCAAGCCAAAACCGATTAAAGGAGCTTTTTTTTTTTTGAAAATCTATGATAAACAAAGCCAGATAGAATTCTTCATAGACAAAAGAACGAAAGGCTCCTTCTCCCAAACCCGTAAAGGATCAAGATATTATTTAGTAGGCGTTCCTGGTACATACACTTCAATACCTATTTTTTTATGAATATAACAAAAATTTATATTAAAATAAACAAAACATCTTCCCAGACTCGCCGCAAGCGCCATGTAATCCCTCATGCCGAGACAGCTAATGAAGAAGACGAAAAACAGACTCGCTCTTATTTTTGTCCTATTACAAGAACGATAACTTCTTTTTTTTTAATTCTGGGGAAGAACGAAAACTCTGAAGAACTAAGAAAAGGGAACATAGTATATTAGTGGTCGAACATTCCAAAAATAAAACTAACAGTAATACGGAGATGAAGTCGTTACAGAAGAATCGAACAATCAATCCTCTTACAAAATAAATGTAAAAGAACATCATTTACTTGCTTTCCAAGTAAAAAATGGTAAATTGCAAAGAGAGCAGATCCCTATTTCTCAGAACACCTCTTCATAAAATAGAAGAAAGCAGCTTCAAAAATGGCGCATTTCCCTAAAACTTGAAGGCACAAAGCCAACCAAAAATGAAAAGGAAAAAAATCCTGAAAATAAAACCAAAACACATCGGAATCTTCGACCTGACCACTGGAAATCAACAAGGAAAATTGCAGGAGGAAAGATTACCCAACAAAGAAGAACCAAATTTGAATTAAATCTCCTCCTCCTTGCTCAAATCCAGAATTTTCTAACTTGATGGAGTTCTGGAAGCCAAACGAAATTTGTAGAGTTGGTGTTGGAGGTCGATGAGGGCGGAAGAGGAAGAGAAGCAGGGAGAGCTACGACAGGCTTACGAGGAGGACAAAGAGAATGTAGACGACGGGGTAAGAAATAGGCGATGGTGTTTCTTTTCTATTTATTAATGAGAAGCTTAGTTTCCAGTCTTGTTATTTTTTATTAGTATTATTTTTTTTAGCCCATTAGGCAACGCAAATTTATCTCCGAATTGATAGCAAAGCCTTCTCATTGAGTGTAAACGGGTTGAGTCAAGTTCGAGTCACATCTAATTTGAGTTTGAATTTGATTGGTTAATTGAGTTTGAGCTTGACCTAGAGCTTTATTGTACGAGTTTGAGCCCGCTCACAGGCCTTCTCGTTTATTATGATAAAAGAAAAATTATTATGATTTACATAATTATTATAATAAAATAAAATTGCGGCCTGTCCATATGAACTCCCTGCAGAGATACAACGAAACCAAGAAAGTAAACCAGCAAGCCGCAGCAAATTGACACTTACTTGGTTAGATAGAGTTTGTTATCCCGGAGTACAGTGAAATTTTGGCCAGAGCTCCAAGTGTTCGTCTTCGAGTGCTGAATACAAAGTATGTCGTCAAAGTAGACAACAACACACGTCGATGAAGGGTTTGAGAAAATTTCTGACAATCAA